CTCACTCCCTCCCACGTATTAACCCCAGCCCCTGTATATATATATATAACATGTATAGAGACATATAGTTTAAACCGTGTTGTATACTAGTGCGTGGTGTGCTTGGAAAAATTGCCAAGTCAAATTACAGTCACTTCAGCCATAGCCCATAGGTTAAGTACAGTGAAGTATAACTATTTTTTAATTGATATCATGACTTCGGTAGATAGGTTAGCTCTTAAACATCTATACTTCAGATGTTCTACACTACATTAGTATATACTCATCAGTCATCAAGCATAAAATTAGGAACATTAGCTATTTGCTAGTTACATTGATGTAGACGTATTATGTAGTTTACTCGGACCTCGGTCAATATTACTTTGTGATTTATGTTAGTATTGTGTGTTGAGTGATTCATCAAACTAACAGAGTTTATTTAGAGTTCATTTGAATTTCAATCTATAACTAGTTATATATGCCTAAAAAAAAATAAAATAATATGATAAATAGGGCTCGGATTTTGTAGCAAAATAAATCCTTAAAAAAGCATTTTAAGTAGCCAAAAAAAGCATTTATTAATTTAATTCTAAAAAAGCAAATTTCAATTACACATAAAATTAAATATTAAAAAAGGAATTCACAACCATATATTTAGTCAAGTTACTTTCATTAAAACTCATTCTATTGGGTGCTAATATATTTTTATACATAGAAAAAGACCTTTCCACGTCAACCGATATAATCGGTGCATATTTCATATAAACTAAATCATTTGAATCATACTGTTCCACATTTACGTTTAGTGCAGTGCCATTATGAATACTATTGACTTTTTGAAGTTCTGCCCATCCATTATTTTTTTGAAAACTATTTCGGCACAATAACGACAGTTATTTTATCAATCATATATTTATTACTGGTTTTTTCACTGTTTTATAATTTCTGGTAATACTAATATAGTCCAAGACGTATAATATACATAGAAATAAGCTAAGTTTTCAAGAAAAATATATAAAAATCAAGAAAAAATAACCAAATAGGGGAAAAGCAATAAAAAGCAGATTTTGTGGAAAAAAGCAAAAAAAAGTTTACTTCATTAAAATCAGAACGATTCAAAACGTATTTATATAAAAGAATTATCTTTCTATCACACTTCCCTCAAAAGAAGCATTTGCTACAAAATCCGAGCCCTAATGATAAATGATAACTTATCTAGTTCTGTACAAAATATTTGCCATTTTAATTTCATTAAAATTATAAAATAATAAGTACTTATAATAAAATATATATAATATTTTAATATTTTAACGATGCATAAGAATTAATATTATAGTAATTACTTATTAATATTAAATAGTATTTAAATTCAGGGATGCGCAGGAATGCAAGATACTAAAAAATGGGTATCGCGAATATTATAATATATACTTGCGTCAAAATACAACTGTTTCACGATGAACAGACAATTGCAATAACTTTTGTTCTATTGAGCATTTTCAACTTTTTATTTAATTGTCAATTGTTGTCTGGGCTACATTTAAAATATTTTTCGATTTTTTTTTAACATTTTGTATGCAAAATTAATTTTAAAATTTAAAAAAAAATAAGATAGCTATTTTGTAAATCTCATTATTTAAAAAAAATTGACGTCATAAATTTTCACTAAAGCTAAGTCAATAATTTTTAAACAATTTTTAAAATTTGCTTAAATTAAAAATTTATTTCTTGTTTATCAGTGTTATAGCGATTATTGATTATTGATATTCAGAAAATTCATTTGAAATAATATAAAATTGTGCAAACTTCAAAAAATCGTGGAAAATAAACAGCTGAACATTTTTATTATTTTTTTTTTTGCGAACATGTTTTAAAAATCATTTAAAAAAAATAACAATCTTGATTTTTTAAATATCAAATATCAAATTTTTTAATTTTTTAATTTTGTATACAAAATTAAAAAAAAAAAATCGAAAAATATTTTAAATGTAGCGACGTAGCACAGACGACAATTGATAATTAAAAAAAAAAAGTTGAAAATGTTCAGTAGAACAAACGTTATTGCAATTATCAGTTTATGGTGAAACAATTTCCAATTATTATTGATAGGTACCGTAAAATTTACAAAAAATAAAAAAAGTCCAGTTCATCTCTTTATAGACTTTCTGGTTCTCTTAGTTACGCCGAATTAATAATATGTGCTTATTAATACTTTTCGTCTCACCAAATCCTACTAATTCTTATACCGACCTTATAGTCATTTATTTGGTAAACTTGAGTGGTCGGTTGTAATATCACAATTACTTTACATCATTCCTTACTTATTTACGTTGCTTTATGTATGGTTATATCACCCTGTTCCATGCTATTGATGCAGCTTGCAAGTAAGTTTCACCTATTAAGTACTATAAACTATACTTATAGCTGTAATATTATTTATAGGATTGGCTATTATTTAATTTCGATCATAATTAACATAAAATAATGTATGTGAAATATGAATTCATAGGTTCTGTTTAATCACATATATGTTTATTAAAGTCCATAAAATATAAAGCATACTCTATATTTTATATTAACATACAATAATAAATTCCCAAGTAAATATAATAATCTATGAAGTGTGAACTCTGCATCACATTTAGTGTCTAGAGTGCACATAATAATAATATCAAATATATAGCTTATATATACATATATCTATAGCTATACTTTTATAAGCACAGGTTATCGGGGTCATTTAAACTGAATATTAGTAGTAAATCTCATAGGTTCTATATTACTTACGTAAAAATGTATATTATGTGTAATTTATAAGTATTTAGTACTTGATATTATGTAAGTCTTAAATCTTCAAGTGGAATACCTACGACGTCTTTAACTATGCCTTTTGCGTATTTATACCTTATTTTTACCTATCTACTTAAACAATATTTCTCTTATATATATAAGTATCGCCTGTTATTTAACACTTATATAAATATATAATAGGTATATAGGTAACTTTAGTGCTAAAGTATACAGTACCTATTATTGATTTTTAATCAAATTCAACTTTTTTTTGTAGTATTTTCAAATAATGAGAATATTATAATTTACATAATATAGCCTATGTTTTAAGTGGTTATATTTATAAAATACTGTTTATAACTATATAATGATCTGTCTTTTAACATAATAAAAAAATGACTGATTTTAATTTTTTTTTTAAATGTGTTCTAAATTAAAAAATAAAGTTTATAAAAAAATGTATCTACCTTATTAATAAAAGGTAAAATTATTGTATGTACAAATGTACGTGCCTATGTAAACGATATGTAGCCAAGTCTATTGCACTTATGATCCTAAAACTCAGTACATATTGGAAATGTAATTTTAATAATTAACAGTTATACCCAAGGATGTGCAGTCCTACAAAGCTTATTATTTTAATTTTGCATTTTGTGGAGGATTTCATTTTTGGCTCACGAAAAACGAATCATTTTTTTTTTTATTATTATTATTGTTCTGTGAACTATGATTAAAGTTGGCAGGTTGCCATTGATTACAGTAAATAAAATAATTAGTTATTATGATACATAATGAAATTTTCAACTTATATTTTATATTTTGTCAAAAAACTCAAATAACTATGTTAAAATCATATGTAGTTTACATTTAACAGAGTTTAAAAATAGTTACACTATTAGAAGTATTCAATTTTTTCATGGGCAACATCGTGCAGGATTAGCTAATTTAAAATTTTGAGGAAATTTAACATTTTTAAAATTAATTGAATTTTAAATTAATAAAAGCAATTTATATGGTTTAAAAAATACGGTAAATTTTATAACATTAATGTTTTTCATAATTTTTTTTTATGAATAGCTATAATTCAAATCCTATAAAAAACACACTATACTATACTTGATATTTTTACAAAATATCCACCCTATAGCATGCTATGCACAAGTAAATTCTACAAGTTTTTTGTAAGGAAATTAAAGTATGGTTAAAAATATCTCTCACAATTCACGAAACTCCTGTAGGTTATAGGTACCTACATGTAGTTGAATCTTACAGTGGGATACACAGTATTTTTTAGAATTCTATAGATTAATCGATTGATTCTTTTTTGAATTCATTTTTCAGGGAAATAATTATTTTACAAATAGCTTAACTCGAAAATGTACACCAAGTCTCTTTTTTTGAAATACTTATGTGGTAATTCAAATTCCAGTTAGTGTTATCAACTGAATTTTTAATTATTAGTAATGATATTTAAAATATTTTCATGGTGACCTTAATTCTAAATAACTCAATGAATCCATTTGAAAAAACAAAAACATTAAATCACATGTTATATATAAACTTACAGGTTCCTAATATATTTTATAAAATCTTAGGAGTTACCTATAAAATAATCCTATAGTAGCAGATAGGCATGAGGCTTAATACAAATATAAAACAGACACCTACTTATTAAAATTGGTTGGTAATGTTGGTATTTAAATTTTAAGTATATATTATTATTCATTACTTATAGTGTATACTATGCATATATTGTCACAAGATACTCTTTAAATAGTAAAAATAGTTAAATATTTTAAACGTCATGCATAACTATTGAATACTAATTTAATTTAGTCTTATACTTACTATTATACACAAAACTGTAAACATTTCTAATTTATTAATATTCTTATATTTAAACATGTCTAGCCATATCTTCTGTATATATATGGTATAAGTTTACTTATATTACGTTCACAAATTACAAAAGTATAAACAATTTGTCATATGGTTTGTTATATAAGTTTATAAATGTCTACCATTATCACCAAAAAAAACAGTTCAATATATTATTATCAACAGTTAGAGTAACATGGCCGTGTAACATTCATCTTATCGGATGAACAAAGTGGGTGGTATTTATTTTAAGGGTAGGAGGTTGGTATTAGCTACTGGTTGGCTATTGAAATATTAAAGGGCGTTCACAGCTTATAACCCCTATTTTTTTCCAAGAAACATTTCACTCTTCGACGAAATACTTTAAACTTATTTGTTTCCTAAAGCGTGTTGTAGGAAGAAGTGCATTGCATAATAAGTATAGTTATATTTTTATATAACATTCTAATATTTTTATTTGGGTAAGTTAAATTATATAATACATTTTTTAAATAAATTAACGCCGTACTATATGTCTACATCTAGATCAAAATAAAACATTTATTTTATAAAAATTGCTATAGACTTGATAAAAGAATGGTTGTTCATTGTTTTAGTACCTAAAGTACCTGTATCTGTGAAATGTATGCAAATATATTATGTAAATCATATATACGTATAAAAAATTTCAACTTTTAATTCAATTTAATTAGGTTGTTATCAAGTAAATTTTTTAACTATATGTCTATTGTATGAATGAATAAGAGAATTATATTCAAGTGAATATTAATAATAAATACTTAGGTATTTAATTTGATTAACCACATGAATATAAGTATAGGTATTAGGTAATGTTGACTATAGGTAGGTAGATACTATATTAATGAGAAACGCTAATAACATTGTTGCAATATGTCGAGCACTTGTCGCTTCACTTATATATGTACACAGTACACTTAGAACAATCGAATATGTTCCATAGCAATTAACTATTTAATAATTTAAAATAGAAAATTAAAATGGCATGTAAGGTATTAACAGTGTTAGTGTCTATTATTTTTAATATATATGCTTTATATGCTTATTATCCATAGAATTCTGAATTTACACAAATATTTTTTCAAAAAAAATACATTATAACTTAAAAAACGAGGTTGTATTTACAAAGGTTAACTGTATTATGTATAACTGTGTAATAATAAATAATATATTGAATACCAATATACCTAACTACTTATTAGTTATTTATTAAGTAGTCTTTATTTCAAACAAATCAGTTTAGAGAGACATTTTTAAAAAAAATATTAAATTCCAGGGTACATACTGTATAATTAATATATATATATATATATATATATATATATATATAATTGTTTTATTAAATACATTTTTAATTTTTATTATTAATATCTAAGTTTATTTACTAATTATATTTGTAAAGTTTTTAAATTTAAATATCAAAACACATTAATATATATGCATTTATAGACTTTTGCACTGATTTAAATCTTTAAATGTGTACTTTAAAGTTTTAAATTATTTTGTAATCAAATGTTTGCAAATTTATAAACAGCATTTTCTATAAATCGTTCATTAAATTTTTAGATGTTAATACGTTAACTTTTAATTAATTTACTTATACGAATATACTACATGTAGCTGATAGAATTCCAAAAAGAATCTTTCATCAATTTCTGCCAAAAGAAATCACCATAACATTTATACTGCTAAAATTTACATATTGCTATAAATACAATAGGTACAACTATATTTTATGATAAAAACATATATTACCATTATTCAATCATAATTTTGTACTATAGAATGTTCAGATGTATTTAAGTTTTTTAATCATGCCGAAAAATCAACATACCCAACAAATATTGAATGATACAAGAGATGATTCGTCTTCATCTCGGGTCGTCATGCTATTTGGATCAGATGAGGAATGTGACTTGACATCAGATGACTTAACGTCTGGTGATGAAGATGCGTCGTCAGGAAATCAATTAACTGGAATTCGACGGTTCCCAGTACCAGATCCCCGAAAACCATGTACTGTAACCAATTCTCGGGAACGCTGGCGCCAACACAACGTTACCGGTGCCTTTGCAGAACTTCGTAAATTGGTACCCACTCACCCACACGATAAGAAATTATCGAAGAATGAAATTTTAAGAATGGCTATCAAGTACGTAATACGTTTACACTTTTTACTATAGGTAATTCAGTCTTGTAAAATATTCAAATAATATTCATTTTTTTTTTTTTTAAATAATATTTTATTTAATTTTTTTTATTTTTGATTTATTTAAAAAATACATTATTGAACTCAAAAATAGTTTTAAATTTTAAATTTGTCTCAAAACATATTTTTTTTATTAAAAATTAGGCACAATAAAATCAATATGATTTTTTTTTAAACATTAATTTATAGTGTATCTTTATTGTGGTATAATCACCGTGGTTTTCGCTTTGTACATAGAATTATTATTATATTGATATATTATTAACTATAATGTATATATTACTTAACGTTAATTTCTAATCATTCTAAAACAGACAAAATTAGGGAGAAAAAATACATTAAAAGTACTCGAATAATTTTTTTGATTTTTTATAAGACTGGTTACTGGTAGGTACCTACTTATATAGTTATAAATCTATAAATGTATAATAATTTAACCATAGTAACGTTAAAATCATATACATTGTATATAAGATATAATTATACATTTATACTTACTACCTTTAGGTACTGCAAGTATTGAAGTACACTTTATTTCTATAATTTGTTTTTATGAAATGTTATAATTTTGCTTTATACAGAAATATCAATTTTTTATCATACGTCATGTATTAAATATTATAATTTATAATAAAACGTACATTAAAATTCGATTCGATTTAATTAGAATAGATTTTTAAATGCAATATGTAATAGGACAACAGGTTAAATTGATTATAATTAATAATTGATGGATAGGTACATAGTCATATAAATATAATATCTACTATGTTAGATGTTTATATCTTTTTAATTTATTCCAATACATACAAACTAATTTCATAATGTATTTTTACTTGTTATTCATTATTCGTTAATGCAATCAGTTTAATACTAGTTATTTTTGCTCAATAGAATTCCGATTAATATTAAAAATATAATCAGTATTTCAGTATTTTTTTATAAAATGTATATTATTTATTATAATAGTGGCAATATCAAACAATATAGGTATTGAAATATGCATATTATAATGTGATTTCGAAAAATATAAATATCTTATACAGTCTTTTACAAAATATAAATAATACAAATTTTAAAAAAAATTGTCTAAAAACAAATATTTGAATAAAATGTAAGACATTTGTTCGAAAAATTTAATTTTAATTTTAATTGATTTCTATGAAGAAGAAACGTTGTAGATATATCACTATATCAGTAAAATCATATGGTATCTAGCGATGACAATTTGGTAAAAAAAATTATTACCAGTATATTAGGCACCTATAAAAAAAACCAATAAGTATACCAAAATATTATTAAGTTTTAATTCTGCAATATTATTGCAAATTTAGAGCGTAAATAAAATTCAAAACTTAGTCGACTGCAATAGATTTAGATAAATACTAGATAGACGATAATAGGTAAGGGCTATGGAGTACTGAGTAAATGATATTACTTTAAAATAAATGCACAATACAAGGCTATAATATTTAAATTAGATAGGTACCAGGTATCTATACATTTTTGTGACGTAAACATTGATTGACGGTTGTTAAAACGCAGATTACATAAGTGTAATTCATTTAATCTTAAAATATTTATTAATATCACTGTACATATGGTTATATAGGTACATTCGTCTATTAAGTGGTGTCCTTGAATGGCAAGAGAATCAACAAGATTTCAGCAATAATAATGAAGATTGTATAGACAATAATGTGTATTTATAATCATAGTAGGTATTGCAAAATAAAATATTAGATTATTATTTACGTGACGATATAATATAATGCCATAACGGTAAAAACTAAAAATAATTTTTAGTTAATGGTACCTACGTTTATGATACATTTATGGCTGTAGCCCATAAGCGCAAAATATGACCCAAGCAACCCTGGGTTGGTTCAGTTGATATATTTTTAAATTATAAAAATATTATATATTTAATTAAAATGTAATGGGTACAATATTTACTTTTGTGCTTTTATCATCCCACTACTAAGATACAAAAGCGTAAAATGAATTTTCGTTTTTAGCCTATCGAAAAATAGACAATTTGCGCTTTTGGGTTTCACCAACATTTATAAATTAAAAAATATTTTACCTACTTATATTTATAATAACAAATTTTAAATATAGGCAGGTATCGGTATACCGTTAGAATATTGAATAAAGTAATTACCAATTTTTTATTGATATTAAACATGTTTATACAACACAATATAAGCATAATAATTAAGAGTATAAAATTTAGTTTAGACGATCCAGATATAATAATAACGTAAATAACGTATACCTTACCAATTATTTTAAACTTTGTAAGAATCGGAAGATTTTATGTAGATATCTATATACACTTATGACTTATGAGTGACTATAATGTATAGCTATTTTACAATATTATTTTATTATTAAGCTTACCTGTGTAGATGTATATTGTATAAGTAAATAGTAATAATACGTATATATTGTATAAGATACACCCTCGAATATAATATAATATTATATTACTTATATTAGTATATTATGTATAAATGTATAATGTATAAAATTACTATATTAGTACTTAAATAATACCTTACTTAATCATTTTGTCTCCATATTTTTTTTTATTATGTAAAAAATATGTTTAGAAATTCAAAAATGGAAAATCATAAAATTATTTTTTGTTAATTATAGTTATTGTAGTGTCTGTATTATTTTTTCAACTAAACTAAAACGAAAACGATAGAATTAAGTTAAAAAGAATTTTAATCTGGATGAAGTCAAATAATACAGCTAGTCTATTATAAAAAATCCATTTTTATTTTTACTTAATTCACACGAACCTTAAATATGAATCGACTTAATAACTTATAGATAACATTTCTGTTTTCTATATAAATCTATTGATACATATTTATTTTTCCTTTTCTATATTAATGTATTATTATATCTCGAACTATTGAAGTATAAATACTATTTTATTTGTAATACTTTAAATTTTTTGGCATTTGAAAATAAATAATTATTAAACATTATGATCATACAATTATTTATTGATTGGTGTAGTTGAATTCTTGCCTGAAAATTTGGACTGGATCTTTGAACTTTTTATTATTTAAATAAAACAATACTAATATTTATTAGTTATTAATTATTATAAACTATTCAACAATTTATATTTTAAAGAGTCCAAAAAACCACGAAATGTAACCCAAAATTTAAATACATGCAGAAATAAAAACTTATGAGGCTATGCGAGTCAACAGTTAAATAGTACTTATTTATAATATAAGTAATTAATATGTTTTATAAATGTAGTATTTAAGACTTATGTAGGTATGTTTATCAAGGGCGTAGGTAGAAAATATTTTCAGAGGGGGTTATGGTCTAGGTCTATATTAAATATTAATATTATAAAAAATTAAAATTAAATATGAATTATTTATTCAGTTTTATTTTTAATTTCGGATGGTGTTTGAACACCTCCCCCCTCTCTTACCTACGCCATGATGTTAATATAAATTTATAAATATCATAACATTCATAACATAATTTATCAAATTGATATAAAGTTATAGATACCAATCGTTTGATTAATTAAACATATTAAATATATAAATTAAAGTGTAAATGTTTATAACCTCTGATGTTGGACAATGGTTTTAACAATATACTTAAATACTTGTTTAAACGAATACTAATAAATCAAACTTAACCTTTCAATAAATTGTTTTTTATTACCACAACTATACTGATACAAATGTTGACGTATTGACTATTTTGAGTAAAGTTTACTTAATTTATATTGTTAAATGTTTAGTAGGTACCCACATAGATATCCATTTATATACAAGTTACTACTTGAATGTTGTATGGATTAAAAATAAAAATAGAATTTTAAAATTAAAGCTATGTTTGATTAACAAAATTCTAATTTATCAATTTGTCTTAAAACTATTTAAAATGTAAACTAAAATTAAACATTAAAAGTAAATATTCTTTTGTCCTACAAAAAAATTTCTCCCAGTGGACTTTCTATATTTTATTTATGTCCAATGGCTAAACTATATTTTTATAGATAATTCATCTTACATGAAAAAATGGTCCAGCAAAAATTTAATGATAGCATTAATACTGTCAACAAATAAAACTTCACAGCGAATCTCGACTTGTAAGTTGGTATATTTAGTTTTAATGTTGTATTTATTTATAATTTTTAAATAAATACAAGTAAATCTTGTTAGTTACATATATTCTTACTAATAAAGTACACTAAAATGGACACATCACAAAGAACTATACAAATTTGTAGTATTGCAATATTACCCATTTTCAAAAATATTATGTCACATAACTATCAATAACAAAACTTTATGTTATGTTCATCTCTCATACAAGAGTTGAAAAATAGTTAGTGAAATAATTACTATGGCTATCACATGGATAATTAAACATTGCATTTTATCAGTCATAAAAGGAATAAGGAATAGTGTAAATTAGAAGAGAAATTATTTGAAAATATAATATTTGATAAAGTATTACAGAAGTGAGTATTTTATATTTTATTTAAAATGTTAATAATAAATCTTATTTGTATTATTTATCATTCTTATTTTTTATATTGCAGTTTAACTCTAGACTCGCAAAAAAGAATTGATGAGTGAATTAACCAATGGATTGAGACCTCAAGTCTACTTGAATAAAATTATAGAAATTAATATAAGTTTATATAAGATTAAAGGTTTAACATATACTTAAAAACTATTTTACTAATTAACAATTTTGCACACATACTTCTTGAGATTTAGGAATTGTTTATAGTTTCATTTTTCAACTCCTATCCAAGGACAGATTTAACAATTTGCCGCCCCTATGCCGAAAAAAAATCGACTGCCCTTATTTAAAAAAAAATTACTTCTGTACAACAAAATTTCTTTACATGATAACATTTTCTATGTATTATGTAATTATTTTTTTCATTTAACTAAAGTTTAATAAAAAATGTTTTGATAAATAATATAGTACTTTCTCTTTATTCTTATTATAAAAGAAAAAAATAATAAATTTATTAAATAATTATTTGGTTATATAAGTAGTTTTAATTTTAATTATTTATTTTGAAATTGAAAAATTTAAGAAAAAAATTAAGTATTTTTCTATAGGTAGGTAGGTACAAGAATAAAATAAATATTAAATACAATTTTACTGCGTATAAAAAGCTGTCCTCCATAAATTTGCCGCCCTTACGGCTGCATAGTTTGCAGTGCCTTAAATCCACCCCTGCTCCTATCTATCTGACTCACTCATGGATTTTGTTTTCAATCAAAAAAAATAAAATATTTTTTAGTTTATACATGGGGTTGCCATTAATTACTGTCCATATGTTTGTACCTATACCCTCAAAAAACTATTTGACTGATTTTTATGAAAATTTCAAAAATGAGCATAGAGATATCAAGAGAGTTTAGAGTATAGCTTGAACCAGGTTCTAAAACAGGGATCACCAACCAATATTTTTGAAGGGCCACATTAGGAATCTAAAAACTTTTTGCGGGCCAACAAAATTTTAAGTACATATTTTTAACATATAATGGGTATTATTTTAAAATTGGATATAATGAGAACATATTATATTATAAAATATATGTAATTTATTCTTTGCCTACATGCCGGATAAAATTTGTTCGGGGGCCTATGCGGCCACTATTTAATGACCACTGTTCTAAAATATACAGTGTTATATCCATTCTAACACAGACAGATTTCCAATATTGATTGAATTAGTTCACAAAACTAAAGAATATTGGCTTGAGCTTATTTGTCCAAGAACTTAGCCAACCGAGGAACTCAAAAATATAAATACACTGCTTATACTACTGTATTTTGTATATTTATTTTTTCAAAAAAAGTTAGATTATACAAGTATAAAGCTAGAATTAAAAGTATATATTTTTTAATTAAAGTACCAATATTATTAAATAAATAAATTAGTTTCATTAATTATCAATATATATAAGGTATTACAGGCAATCTTTTAAAAGAGGTTTATGTTATTTTAAAAATATTTATTGAATTCTAGGGTCATTAGCGTTAACTTGAGTACTATATATTTTATTACCTAAATGCATCATTTGTAATTAATATAAAAAGAATTGATTATTTAATTTTAATTAACTTTTAAAAAATATTATTTTTATTTGCTACCAGAAAAAAAAAAATTACTAATATAATCCAGTCAGATTTTTATGTAAAAAATATACTGTAAAAGTTACCTAAGTATAAATGTATAAATTAAAAACTGTTAAGAATTAATTCTTATTTAACATCAAAATAATTAAAATATTATTAAAAATAATTTAAGTTATAATTGAGTTATAGAATAGTCTAATAGAGATAAAATTAAAGTAATTTATTTATATTTATACTGTATACAATCAAAAAAATTCAATAAGTATTAACTAATAAATGTAAATACAAATAATAATTACAAAAACAATAAAATTATTATTAATTATTATTAAAAAAAAATCTTACAAAAATAACATATTAAAATATCTTACTTAATTAATACAAGTGAATTAATATCTGCGAATATATTCACTATAACGAGGAGGTGTATTCCAAACAGCACTTGATGTACGTTGTTTATCACGAATATTCCAGCCTTTGAACATTTCTTTAAGACTCATACTTTTAGGACAGTCAAAGAATAAGTCTCTTTCTTTAGAATTAACATGATATTGAAGTTCAAGTACAGCTTTTCTATTTTCTCCTAAAGATAATTTATTACAATATTCAATTGATAGTTTATTATGCTAGATTAGTCACTAATGTATATATGACAGGTGTACATACGTTTTGCCCAATTCGGAACAGGTTTTTTGGGTCCAGATTCATCTTCAGAAGAATCACGTGCAGATACATCATTTAGCCCATAATCATTTTTGTTATCAATCTTTAATAAACAGATAAATTAGTAAAAAGACTAACTAATGTAAATTTAGTTTTAAATTGGTTGATTAATAAAAAAAACTCAATACTATTTTTTATATCAATTAAACAAAATATCTTTAAGTTGTAATAATAAAATAAACAAAATATTTAGAATACAGCTATGCAAGAAAATTACACCTAATATAGTAAACTAATCGATAAAATTAAATATTATGATTTATAAAAAGCAACAAATGAAACATTCATTTTTTTTTTTTTTTAAATTATTTTGAGAAATTAAGTATATAAATTTGATTTATTTAATTTAAAAGAAAAGAAAACCAGCTTACTTTTGATTTTGGCAATGTTGCTAATTTAGGTGCTGATGAAGTAGGTAAATTTGAAGATGCTTTAGGGCGAATTACTGATTTACTTTTTTCTGGTCTGTTAATAATATAATACATGAATCAATACAATTATAATCAACATTAAAAAAATAAAAATTTTTTTTACTTTGTCTCATTTTTCTTTTTTAATTCATTTTCTTTCATCATTCGATTCATCTCCAGTTTTTGCTAAAATACCAATACAAAGTTAAAATATTTTTAGAGTGAAATTATTAATACAAAGTATATATTATGTATCATAAAGTTTACCATTTTTAAGTGTTTTGCTTCTTCAGCTAGTTTACGCTTAGCATTAATCTCAGCTAACCTAAGTTCTGCTAGTTTTTGTTTTTTTAATGCTTCCTCTTTCATCATTAATTCTTTTTCCTTTTGTTTTTCTTCTTTTTTCCTCTTCTCTTCAGCAGCTTTTTTAACTCTCTCTTCGACACGTCTCATTTGCTCTTCTCTATGTTTAGCAGCCCTTAAATGTTGATCATCAAATTTCCTATGGACAATAATACTTGATTTAAGTAAACTCAAATAATTTTAATATAAATAGATCAGTGCTTGGAAGAAACACGGTCAGTAATGTTAAAAAATGAAAAATCATAATTATACATTATTTTTAGGTAATTTACTTCAAACTCAACACCAAAATAAATTAACAACAATGAAGTACCTTTGATCTGCTTTGGACTTAAGATATAATTCTTTCCTTTTTTCAGCTTCATTTTCTCGGATTTGATGAGGAGTTTGTGATAAATTATCTTCTAATGGTTTTACTGGCGTTGCTGTTTGTTTTTCTAATGGCACATATACTACATTAGTTTTTTTTGCATCAATATTATTTTCTTCTTGAAGTTTTCTTTTCATTGTTCTTGTCATATGTGTTGATGATTTTTCATCAATATTGATATCAATATCTTCTAATTTTTCACGGTGTTTGTTTTTTGTTTGAGATTCAAGACTATAAATTAAATAAATCAAAAAAATAATTATTTAACATAATATCTTGTATTTTAAAATATATTATACCTTTTTTTCTTCAATTTTAATTTGTTTAAAGTCTGAGATTGTGTAGAATTAGAATTTTCAACACTAATAGGAGATTCTTCTGGTATTAAATCAATAATTTTTCCCAATTTTTTTGTTCGATTAGCTGCTAATGATTTTTTAGGCATATCATAAGTTGTATTGACATTAGTTTCTTTTATATGGGCCCTATTATCTGGAGAAAACATTCCAGGAGATACACATTCTTCTACATTCTTCATACACTTTTTATCAACTACGAAAGTTGAATTTGCTGTTGGGCAAGCGATAGGAGCTATATCCATCAATGTAGATAAAGCTCTAGCTCGACTAGCTCCTAAAATACAACCAAGATAAATTATTGAATAAAATTAAATATTTAAAATTATCTCAAGCTTCTTAAAGTAATAATTATTATAAATATGAAGTTATAAGTATATAGAATAATATTATAATTAAAAACAAAAGAAGTAAATAAATATTGTATTCTAAGGATTTAAAAATCATTAATTAGTTATTACTTGTTGATGCTCCAGAACCACTGATAGTTGAAGATTCTCTTATGCCTTTTATTTTATCTGATGAAATCTATAAATATTAAAATTACAATATTATATTAATACTTCGGTAACCAAAGATAAATATTAAAAAAAAAAAAAAAAGAGTTGAAAAAAATTATACCCTACAATAAAAATATTATTATTGTACCATTTATTTTTTTACAAAAACAGTAATTTAATTTAATTCAGCTAAAATATGTATGAATAGTCATAAGTTTCAATGTTACTTGAAACATAAAACAATTAAAAAAATTATTAAATGGGCTCATTAAGTTAAATATTATTACAGATTTTACAGTAATATTATTTAAGAGAGAAGTGATAAGGTATAGCAAAAAATCAATGATTTGTCAGTTATTTATTTGGTCATACTTACAATAGAAGCTTGTCTTGTAGTTCTGCGGATAGGTGGAACAGCTGGTTGTTGAAAATTTGGTTCTGCAGCAAAGAGATCTCCAACCAGACCATTTTTTGTTTCTAAACATTTTAAACAATTGATTATTTATTTAATAGATTTAAACAATTTTAACTTAAATATTTTTAAATAAATAACTAGAAGATATATTTTTTATTTTAAACTTGATATAACTTAAAAATGTTTGAAAAACTTGAAAAAAATAAAAATATTAAGTTAAAAAATATTGTAGGAGTTAAATTTTTTAATTTTTCTGATAAAACTATGACTTACTAGATGGTCTTTTAGATACATTCTTTTCAGGAACGTTCTGTGCAGATTGTAATAACTCATTATAAACAGCATCTAGTTTTGATGTTTGAACCTAGTCCATACAATTAACATAAAAATAATTCCTTAGGTAAGTACTAATAATAACAGAAATCTACACATTTAGATCTTGGATTTTTATGCAAATTTAATTAGCATGATTCAATAACAAATGTAAGTAATAAATAATAATTCTAGTAACTAACCTGGAAACCATTATCCAATTCTGTAATACCATTTTCTATTAATGATGAAAACAACTTATAAATTTCAAATATATCTGTTGATTGACAATCCATTTTTTAATGTGAAATACTGAAACATTTGAGATGAATTTCTAAATTAAAGTAATACTAACAAAATAAAGTTCATAGAAAAAAAAACCAATCGATATTTGTATTGTAATTAAGTTGTGAATTTAAAATAAGAATGTAGTACTAAATTTTAAGATAGTTAGCAGTGAAGTTAATGATATACTTTATGGGTCAATGTTGCTGTCAAAAACAGTATATAGTTATGTAAAAGCAGATTTACAGAGTATAGATCCTTAACTAACCTCAATCACAAGTACAATATCTGCTAATCGATCTGCTATATACAATAAAACAGTAGATACCAAAATATATTAACTAAAAGTTTATTAAATTTAAAAGAAAACTATAATTTGTTCAAAAAAAAAAATAAATTGCTGAATTAAATATTCAACTACGATATTAATGCATCAAAATTTCAAACAACACTCACTGTTACAACTAACTGATCATTAAATAAACTATTAAATAACAAATTAAAGATAGAAAATAAATATAAATAATAAATCTCGCGTTCGCAGCTATTGCATACAGGCTTTTAAAATGTAATGTAAGTAATAACAACAAAACAATTCGACGTAACTTAATGACATCCTGTTAGACATTTTATTATCACTTCCGACTAACAATTAAAATAATTATTAATTATGTATTTAATACGTACCACCGACAGTGAACGGATTACAGAATAGTACAGTTTACGTTTACTAATTCCTTAAGGCCCTAAGTAAGTTGAAAATAAGACATAACAGAATTATTTAACAAATTATATTCAATAACTACTATTTTCCGTTAAAAATTTAACACTCACGCACACGGCCATGCGCAATGCTTTTCTTATACATAATAACGGTTGTGTTTTCCTTTGGTGGTGGTTTAGTGGGGGATAGCTGGTCGGTGTTTTGTTCTATGGTGTAGTTGTTGTTACCATTTTACCTGCAACCATGTTTCATACACTCCGGTGATAACTAATGTTAAAAATCGATGATAACAATAAGATTACCGGGTGAATTTAAATATAATAATTTTTCTTTTTTTTGACCTAACTGAATAATACAATTTGTATACCTTTATAATCAACATTTTATGGCACCTATTATATGTACTCAAATAGATGTGAACACAAACTAAAATATATTCCATATTTTCTCGTAAGTTTTCAAAAAACACTATTAATAAATAATGTTGAAAAATTCCAATACCTATACTCTATAGCATAATCTGTATTCTGTAATATCAAGTGATATTTACTATAGAATTTACAGTTTTAGGTATACTGCTATAAGTAGAATTTTGATTGCCACGCAAACAGATATTTATAAAAGTTCAAGTTTAAATTATAAAAAAATTACATTATAACAAGCCTCAGTCAGCACGAGTCGTTGTGTATGACAGGATTTGAATAGTTTTAAAAAAATGATAAAAATTAATTGAATTTTTACTGACAAAAATATTCTAAGTTTTTTCTTAAATCAAAAATATATCAAGTCGAAATTACTGTGTAAAATGTTTATAGTAGTGATTAACTGATTAAGGCGTAGGTACAAGTTCACTATACATTCACGTCCAAGTATTTAATTTAACCCCATTGGTCTGTAGTTCGCCTCTCGGCTCTCATTGCAGATAACGATTTCCCTACTACATAAATGTGTAAATATCATAATAATATAAGAATTTAAGGTCACATCCCACATTTCCACGTTATTTCTAGTTTGTTACTATCTTATAAAATTAACAAATACGCCGGATATCCTTTCATATGTACATGAAACATTACGATATCGTAATAAGTATAGAGTACACAATTTTAACTCGATATTATTTATAGTTTTAAAACGCCGTTAAAATATTTACACTATACTATGAACTTTCGATAAGTGATAAATAATAATTACTAAATGTAGGTACTTGCGTCTTTGTTTAAACGTATGACTTACATATAAATATATAATATATGCATTATACTCTAACACTTACATAGTAACACATGATACATGGACCAATTCGTTATACACATTATGTCTTTATGTACTTACAACATTTATATAAAACGATATAAGTATACATACAAATATAAAATACAACAACTCGATTGAAACTTGAAAATTAAGACGTAATACATATAGTATACCTACAAGTTACAACTGTCTGTACTGAGTACTTGGAAATAAAATTATGATGTATAAGATTTTCGGTTTCCTAACTTTCTCTAAAAAAATGATATTTTTATTTGTTATTTATTCAGTATTATACTTATACAGTATCTATGTTTAAAAGTATTGAATTTAATACTGTAAAATGATATAAAATATAAAATTGTTTGCTGTAATTGTAGTATTGCCACAAAATAAGTAAGAACCATTACTTAAACTGAGTGTCTGAGTAGGTATCTACAAGAAAAAATTGTACCTTACCACTGTACCAGTACTTAAGTTTTGTGTACACCTAAAATACAAAGGTCATTAGGTCTTCAATTTTATAAAATAATATGTTAAAAAACAATTATTTAATTTAAATTCATATGGCATTCGAACAATCAGTGACGTTGCCAGGAGAATGGCTGAGGGGACTGTAGCTCCCCCCCACCGAAATTTTAAGAAAATTTAAACATTTTTGTATATTACTAGTAAAATAAAATATCCAAAGTATTTAAAGTATACAAGTATATTAAATCAATATATGTTAAGGGTTATAGGAACAAAAATCTAGAATGAAACTTCAGCATCTGCATGTTCAAATTATGGAAGAACCTAAGTAAACCACAACTATGTAAAAAATGTATCAGTCCCCCCCTCCCCAAACAAAAATCCTGGCTATTCCACTGTGAACAATTATTATAGATATAGTTATCATATCACGGAGGCATGGACGTTCTTATTTCCATGTACGACCTAAACAATCAACATGAAACTGTCAGATGTAAATAAAGCCTTCAGGCTTCAACCCATCTACAAAAAGTGGTCTGGGAAAATATTTTTCTTTAGTATGGACAATTTGACAGTAAATGACTTCGGAAAATGTACATAATTGCTAATTTTCAAGGACCATGCCCGGAATGGCTAGAGCCACATAGGGCACTGGAATATAAATGTAAGGACCCTAAAATCAATATTTTTATAATTGTAGACACTAAAACATACAGAGTTTTTAAAATTTTAAGTCTTTTTTATCATTACCTTGAATAAAATGTATAATACCGGAAAACAAAAACATCAACTGAGACGTAGGTTTTAAAAACGTCTATGTTCTTATAATAAAAGTAAAACTAATATAATATTCAAATGTCTTATAAATATAGATTTTATTGATCACTGCACAGTGCACAAAAAAAATTATTACCATTGGAGAAATAATCAAAAATTCTACTACTTTGGATATTTACGTTAAATTATAATTATTACATATATCGTTTTTGTTACATAGTTGACGTTTTGTCACTCACTGATTAATTTATTGAATTATAATTTTTATTCTACTAGGTATAATACTTCTTCAATATTAATAAAACTCTCCCTTTCACAACACACAAATACTTTTGTTCCTAAGTTGAAATAATAAAATATTCTATTTAGTTTTAAGTTTTTTACAGTAACCTTTAAAGTAAGAATTAATTTCTAAATATAAATTTTTCTTAGGGACGGAAATAATGTAATTTTAAATCTTTCGATGTTCCATAGGCTAGTACGGACCACGCCTGTAAATAGATTAAGTTCATTTCTTCATGGAAATTAATTATTACCAATACCAGTATCTTTAACTAGAACGACTGAAATAACTGAATAATAAATATTTAACTCTTGAAGTACGAAACTGCTGAAATGGTGAATACTGGTCACTGGATTTAATGGATTCATGGCAATAATAATATTATATTATGGGCACGTAAGTTTCATGGGAGAAGTTGTCGATCTCACTGCCGCCACTTGTATGTGTAAAATGAGTGTGACCAACCATAATTGTATGCGGAATCGGCCAATTAGAAACCGCCAAGTACAATACGGTAACACGAAACACGTAGTACATCGGATACACAAATACTTGATTTACGAACAAGTGCATACTGCATACCACCTCTGTATAGTGTATACGTACCGGCGACTTAGTTTTTGCTCGCTCAAATCTCAATCCGTTCAAATCCGGTGCCAATTAATTGGTTTCCGATATTGTTTTTTGAACGGTTTCCAGTCCATCGTCATCGTAGTGTTGACATTTTTTCATATTTCACTTTGTTTTCGTTCCACTGTGACTAGCTATCATGAAATTGATGCGCGGATTGATCGTGTTCTCCGGATTCCTATTGAACTCCATACTCGCTGACTCCGTTGTCGATTTATCGGACTCAGATTTCGATTCGTCAGTGGCTGAATATGATACGTCTTTAGTCATGTTCTACGCCCCATGGTACGTATATTTAAACTAATATTATAGTACTGATGAACCGTATAACTGATTTCAATTTTTGGTTAAACTAGGTGCGGACACTGTAAGAAATTGAAACCCGAATTCGAAAAAGCAGCCAAGAGTCTTCTAAAAGAAGATCCACCTGTAACATTAGCAAAGGTAATTAGTCAATATATAACTACTTGAACTGATGTTTTGGATAATTTACCTATATGTTAGAATTATTTATTTTATACCTAATTTGCAGATATTTATTTAAAAGTTTAATTAAATTATTAAAATAATACATATTCCATGAGAAAAAACAATAGTTACTTTTAATACAAATTAATAACATGTATTTATATTTTATAAATTGCTTTATAAAGAATGCCTAATATTCATCTTTGTTACAAAAATAAGCATATAGGATGAATTAACTATTAGGTGTTTGATCTAATGTGCTTATGTATTACAATAGCAAATGTAATATTTAAATAATTCTAGATATATAAGTTGCTTATTATTTCAAATCTCAGTTTTAGAAATAATTTTAAAGTTCTCAATCATTAGAGTTCTAACAAATTCTATTTGAAGTCTAAAACTCAATTATTATAAATTACACTACTTAGTTATATATTAATAAAATATTGTTTTATACATATATTATATCTAAGTAAATATCATTATTCACGGTAATACCTAGATAGAATAATTATTGTATTATATTATTATATTTTTATTTAAACTAATTAATTGGTTATTAGTAAAAAAAAATAATTTAAAAAATTCAACTTTTTTTATTTAGCTTTGGTTATTTTACTTGTAAGTACATCTTTACAACTTTTAGTATCTACATTTTAATTGATTATAAAATAATGAATACAATGTATTTGGTTTATTAGTAGTATAATTTGTGTTTAGTATTAGTAATTATATTTAAATTAAATTGCTATAGGTGGATTGTACAGAAGCTGGTAAAGAAGTATGTAACAAATTTGGTGTTTCTGGATATCCAACTCTAAAAATTTTCCGGAACGGTGAAGTTTCTAAAGAATATAATGGACCCCGTGATTCCGGTACATAATTAAATTGTATTTACTAAGCAATTTATTTTTACTAATTGTATGTATTATGGTTAGCTGGCATTGTCAAGTACATGAAGTCACAAGTAGGACCAAGTTCAAAAGACTTATCTTCAGAAGAAACTATTAAGAACTTCTTATCTAAAGATGACGTGGTGGTTGTTGGATTCTTTGAAACAGAAACTGATCTCAAGGGCAAATTTGTTCAACTTGCCAATAAACTACGTGAAAAAGTAAACTTCGGTCATACCACTTCAAAATCAGTTATTGATAAATATAATTATAAGTAAGTGGTTACTGTTACTTAGAAAAATACCTAGAATCTAGTGCCTAGTATATTTTATTTAACTTGAATCTATGTATGATATTTATTTATCAA